AAGGGCGGCGGCACCTGCCACCACCTTGGCGCAGGGCCCGCCTCCCGCAGCCGCCTTGGCGCGGGGCCCCGCGCAGGTCCCGCCGCCAGTCGCAGCCTTGGCGCGGGGCCTGCTTTTCTTGAAATTAAAAAAAAAGTGCATTAAAAAAACCCCACACACCTATTGAATGACCACAGTAGGCTATATAGCCTCAGTTAGGTGCTGCTTTATAGTATATTTGTTCTACTTACTGAGTTTTATGCCTAAAGTCAGACACGTGTTCATAGATATGTTTATACCAGCTGCGCTTGCTATTGAAAGTATTTAGATTAATTAAGATCTTTTGTGAATCAATAAAAAGTGCGAAAAATAATAATAAAGCATCGAAAGCAATTGTAGAGACCAGAGACAGTGTGGGAGGAGGGAAATGGCAGAGGGTGAGAGAATCAAGGCAAAAAAAAGAAAAGAAAAAAAGAAGCAAAATATATAAGAAACAAGAAATGGAAAATTCTTTCTTGATGATAACATGTATGGTAACATCCTTGACTGAGCCAATGTACAGTGTATTCTGGATAGGAAAACCCGTTTTGTATGCTGCAATGATATACAGTGAATGAATGTTAAATAAAAACGAAAATAAAGTGAAATTTTAAAAAAGAAAGAGGATTGAAGAATGACTCTATAAGATGGGAAGGATGGGGGGAGGGAAAGATAAAGGGATATTGGTTAACAAAAACAAAATGACAGATAGATAAGATGAACAATTTCCAGTATTATAAAAACACCGTAGAGTGAATGTAGTTAGTAACAACTTTCTATATATCTGAGAGTAATTAAAAATAAGAACTTTGAATGTCCCCAAACAGAAGTAATGATAAATAATTAAGATGATGGACAACTAAGTGCACTGATTTGATCAATAACATTGCATTCTCATACAAAAAAAAAAGCATTTGTACCCCATAGATATTATACAATTATATTTCTTTTTTATCCTATTTTGCCAGAGGGCTCAGGAGCTTGGTTCTCCAAAGAGAGAAAGAGAGGCCAAACGAAAGGGAAAGGGGAAAGCAGCCCTATGCGGTCATGGTGTAATTCCTTCTCCTCCATTTCTCCCTCCTGTTGGAATTTGGTCGCACCTACACACACATATGGTGTGTTTTCAACCACTAGGGCCAGGATTTGAACTGCACGGTTAGGCATATTTGGATCTGTCTCCCTTAATCACTAGGCCATGGGGCAGGTCCTACTATTCTATTTTAATTTTTTTTAATGTTAACAATTTAAAAAAAAAATTAGATTATCCTGATAGACACCCTTGTAGTGCCTGACCTGTATTATTTATAATTACTAAGAGTGTCACTTTCTAAGAGCCCTAATCAGGAAGTTAGCTGGGTCTGGGTGTGTCCGTCAGGTAGACATGAGGAGGCGGCACAATGAAATACGTGAGATAGCAGAAACAGTTTATTACTACAGAGTCAGACAGAAGACCACAGCATGCCTCCCAGGACCAATGGGAAAGACGGAGCTGTCTGGGACAAGTACACTCAACCAGAGGATGGAAAGCAAGAAACAGAAAGCAAAGGGCCTGTGGGATACAGCTTTATTGGGGTCCCCCCGGGCATTACCTAGGCTGTTTCCTGCAGGAAGTTCTAATTGGTGGATTTAGAGCAAGGAGTTTCACGGATCCACATTGTGACTGAGAGGCAGTCATTGTGACATCTCTGAAGAGCCTATTCAGGATATGGGCTAAGTGGGGTAAGCCAAGCAGTTCGTACATAGTTGTTCAGAGGGAGGTAATCCGCAGACGACGGTGGTTTGAGGCAGTGAGCTGGATTAACCACAAGAAGGAATGAGGGGAAGTTAGAGAACTAGAAACTGTGTCAAGAGTGACTAAGTCTTTTTTTTTTTTTTTTTGAGAGTTTTTTTTTGTTTTTTTTGCTATAGGGCACATGCGCTCACCAGACAGACAGAGACAGACAGAGAGACAGAAAGTGAGAAATCGAGAAATCCCCCCCGGGGGGATGGCCATGCCACAATCCCTTCTCCTCCATTCTCCTCTTGGGATCTTGGGCACGCACACACACGTGTCCGGCATGAGTTTAAGCCACGGGGTCCGGGACTTGAATTGCAGTTGACTACATGGAAGTCCAGCAACATAGCCGTTACGCTAACTGCTGGTCCCAAGAGTGACTAAGTCTTATTCTGGTATGAGAAAGCCCATTTTATGTTCAAAATGTATTCTGAGACTATGTAAAATGATCAGAATCCACTACATAGATATTAGAATTATCCAACAAAGATTTTTAAAGCAGTCATAATAAAAAATTCTTTCAATGAGCAATTATAAACATGCTTGAAATAAGTGAAAAAATAGAAGAACTTCAGCAAAGAACTACCACAGATGAAGGAGAAACAAATGAATATTTTAGAACAGAAAAGTACAATAACTGAAATTTCAAAAAAAAAAAAAGAAAAGAAAGAAAGAAAGAAAAAGACTATGAGAATGAAAACACGATCTGGGCTAAAAACAAAACATCAAACAGACCTTTGGGGACCTGTGGGACTGTCACAGAAGGGCCTTCATCTATGTCATCAGAGTTCCAGAGGGAAAGGAGGAAGAGTGTAATGATTGAAAAAAAAAAAAGAGTGTAATGATTGAAATCCCCCAAATTTGATAAATGACATCTACAGATTCAAGAAGCTGAGCCAACTCCAATTCCAGTGTGGCAGTGAGAATTCTGCAGATGGGTCCCCAAGGTTCCTGTTCCTGATCATTCAAATAGCAATCTAAGTGCTATTTAAAAGGGATGTTTCCTGCTGTAAAGTCCCAAGTCAGTTGATCTTAATATACAGAGAGTATCTGGGTGGGCCAGACCCCATTAGGTGAGCCCCTTCACTTTGATTTATTTATTTTTTTCAAGAGGACTTTTACCTCAGGGCACATGAGGATGGCCATGCTGCCATCTCTTCTCCTCCAATCTCCTCATGGGATCTTGGACACACATGCACACACACTCAGCATGATTTTCAAGCCACTGGGTTCAGGACTTGAACCACAGTCTATCTTGTGGAAGTCCACTGATGTAACTGTTATGCCATCTGCTAGCCCCAGGTGAGCCCTTTAAAAGCAGAGCAATTTCCTCAGCTGGTGACAGATGAGGAGGACAGAGATTCAAAGCACATGGATTCAATGCACTGCTGCAGCTCTGAAGGTGGAGGGTGCAACGTGCAAGAGTCACAGAGTAACCGCAGGAGCTGAGAGCGACCCCAGCTGGCAGGGAGCAGAGACCTCAGGCCTCCAACTGTGAGGAACTCAATTCTGCCACAAACCTGAATGTGCTTGGAAGTAGATCCTGTCCCAGAACCTCCAGATTAACCCCAGCCAACTCACATCACATCTTGACTTTGGCCTGAGACTTCAAGTAGAGAACTCAGTTGGCCCCGCCTGAACTTCTGACATGCGTAGCGTTGTAAGCCTCCAATGGTGCAGTAATTTGTTATGTAGCAAAAATACACCCAAACAAAATAAACTCCCCAAACCCACACCAAGACCCATCATAATCAATACATCAAGATGATATCTGCACTGCCAGACATAATGCAGTGCTGTTTACAATAGTCGAGATATGGAATCAACCTAAGTGTCCATCAACAGATGAATGGGTAAAGAAAATGTGGTATATGTGGGGAACTTCAAAAAGTTCATGGAAAATGTCATTAAAGTATGAGTTTACTTAGGTTCAGAAATCCTTTTTTTTTCTTCATCCTCTTCCTCTTCCCCTTTTCTTCCTTTTCTCCTCTCTCTTTCTTCTATCCGTTGTTCTGTCTATTTATCTATCTCTGGCCTAAGTTATCCATCATCTGAACACCTTTTTATATCATTATTGACTATTTAAATTCCTTCCTCTATAAGTTAATTATCCAAATCTTTCTCTTTTTTTCTGTTGAAGTATTTTATTTATTAGTTTATGAGGCTTTTGTTTGTTTTCTTTTCTTTTTCTTTTCTTTCTTTCTTTCTTTATTTTGCTATAGGGTGTGTGTGTGTGCTTGCTGGAGAGACAGAAAGAGACAGGCAGAAAGTGAAAAATCACTCCCCTCAGGGGGATGGCCACACCACAATCCCCTCTCCTGCATTCTCCTCCTGGAATTTTGAGCACATATGCACATGCACCCAGCGTGAGTTTCAAGATGCTGGGTCTGGGACTCAGACAGCAGTTGGCCACGTAGAAGTCCAACAACATAACCACTATGCCACTGGTCCCATAAGAATTTCACTTTTTTCTTATTGATTTGTAGGAACTCTTTCTAGATTGTATATATTATACAAAGGTTTTATGTGATAATTATGTAAAAGGATTCTTTTAGGGATGATAGAGAATCATTGCTGAGAAAAAGGATACCGTGAGCATGTGTTATATTAATAAAGGGAGGGGAGCGAAAATATTTAAATACCTAAGGGTAATAACTCTCTAATGTAGTACTCAAGAGCATGGATTAGGGTTAAGCAGAAACTAGTTTCAACCCCCAGCTCCATGGGTGTAATTAGCTAAGTTGTTATGTTTCCCTGAGCCTCAGTTCATGAATTGAACCTAAGAAGTTATACTGAGGGGCCCATGACATTCTAGCTGCAAAGGGTACAGAACAGTACTTGGTACACTGACAACACTTATTATTATCACATTATTATTACTTAGGCCCCCAGCGAGCCTCCCACCATTACCTGAGAGTCGTCCTTACCAGAGACAAGTAGCACAGCATGATGACGGTTAGTGTTTCCGTTCCCATCGAAGGAGATGAGCTGCAGGGTGTAGATGCCGTCATCCGACCTCCGCACATCGGTGATGCTCAGGGAGCCACTGGCACTGCCCGTTTCCCTGCCAGTGTGAGCTGGTCCTGGAGTGTGGGCATGGTCGGTGAATTTGAAATTCACAATCCGGTTAACCTGATCAATGGTTGCTCCTCGGAACCAGTTGTAGGAGAGGAGATTCTGAGGGATCCCCTGGACAGACAGGGTGACGTTGTCCCCCTCGATAGCTCGGGGAGGGATGGACGTGATGGTCAGCTGGGCAGACATGGGTTTGCTGCAGAAGCTCAGGAAGGAGGCTGAGGGAGAAAGCAAGATGCACCATCATGGGGTCACTTAGCAGCGGTCAGCGCGAGAATTAGCTCCGTTAGATTCTCACTCAGAAGGGTCGGACAAAAGGAGAGGGTCGAGCACGCACGGAAGCCTGTGGCAGGAGTGAGGTGGTTGTTTCCAAGGGAACAACAAACAGGGAGATCAGTGTTAGCTTGAGCTGAGTGACAGGAAAGAGAGAGGTAAGAGATCTACTTCCAGACAAGGGGGCAGACTGCAGTGGTGCTGTTGGCACTTTGGGCATGACAGCTATTTATAACATGGACACGCCCTGTGCACTGCGAGCAGTTTAGCACTCCTGGTCCTCCCCACTCTACCAGCTCCCCCAGGTCCCCCAGGCAATAGAACCAAAGAGCATCTCAACAAATTCCCAAATGCCCACTAGGGAGCAGTATTAGCCCAGGTTGGGAACAACTCATGGAGGCGCTTGGAGAGCTTTGTAAGGACTTGGATACTTCCGAGAGAATGGAGGACTCCTGGACACTTCTGGGTTAAGGAGTAACGTGATGTGCCTTCTGAAATGATCCTTCCAGATGCAGAGTGAATTGATTTTTGGAGTCCAAAGGCAGAGTTGCCAATGAACTCAGCTCCCCAGAGTGGACTGCTGTCCACATTGCAGTTAACACAAACAGCACTTCCAGAAACTGTGCGGCTGCATGGATGACCCCGGGCGAGGTAGAAGCAGAGGACGCCACGTAAGGAGGTGACGACAACAGTCCAGGTGAGAGACATCAGTGGGGAAGAAAATCAGAAACTGTCATCAGGTGGCTGTTACCTGTGAGACAGAGCCATTTCCAAAGCCCGCCGCCTCTGCAGGGACCCTCCCAGGGGACAGCCATGCTGTTCTTCTGCCTCCTCCCAGGTGGAGTCCAGGCCTAGAGAAAGGTCAAAAGTATCTGAGAAGCCCCTCCCGCTGCGAGTTCTACATTTCCGTTCTCCCCAAAGAGGGTCCGTTAATGCTGTCCCCTGCATCCCACTCTTATTCGCCCCAGTTTCCCCACTGATGGTTGGAGCAGGATCCACTGGCACCAGGCAGGGTCTCACCAATTCTACAGGCTCCTCCGGGCTCTGCAACGACCAGCTGCCCAGCCCCAGCACCGCTTTGTCCAGAAGGAGCAGCGTGGCTCTGCGTTTGCTGACAAGGAGTGCGGCCTGTGCCCTGGGTGGGCGGGGCAGCTTCTGCTCATTCCAGAGGTCCCCTCTGCCACCCGAGATACCAGGCTGCAGTGCTAGTCCCCTGAGGGATCACAGGGCTGTTGGCACCAGCCTGGCCTCTAAGTTAATTTTTGTCAGGTTCACGCAGCCCAGCGCAGAAGGACTGATGTTGGACAGCCTTGAAGGATGGGCACACGAGCTTATCAGAATGAGCGATAACAAGATAAAACATAAAAGTGGCTTCGTCTCTGCCTCAGATTCTTCATCTCAGCAGTTTTTACCTTCAGAGTCCAAAGACCTGAGCTAGACAAGGAAAGCACCCTGCTGAGGGGACACTGACGTGACCTTGGTCCCTGGTTTTCTAAGGCTGTGGGCAGTTTGGGAAGCGAAATAGGATGCGGAGAGAATGGACAAGTACGTATTATTTGAACAGGAGGGGGCAAACAAAGGAAAATAAATTCAACGACCACTGAGCTAGAAGGTTTAAATAACAACTCGTGTCAGCAAGGAGAGAGCGAGCGTCCATTGGGAGAGCAATTTGCCAAGCTGTGTCAAAAGGCATACAGCGTGTGTACTCCTTGACCCCACAATCCTTCTGTCTTCATTAAGACAATCATTAAAGAGCCAGCGCCGTGCTGCAGAGGTGTGCCCTGCTGCTCAAGAGAAGCTGTTTCCCACATGGTTGCCATGTTCCAAACCTCAGCCCTGTCAGCTTGAAACATGCCAGAGACACTCACAAGTGCCCAAGATCCAATGGGCTACAAGCAGGAGGAAGGGCATCGCGGTGTGACCAGACCTAAGAAGGTGCTTCTCTCTCTTTCTCTCTCCCATGCACACACACACTCTATCATGAAATGTACATATATAAATAAAACAATCATTATAGAGGGCCAGCAGATGGCGTAGAGGTTAAGACGCTGGATCCCTCATGGCTGACTGTGCATTTCAAGTCCCAGACCCAGCAGCTAGAAAATCATGCCGGGCGTGTGTATGTGCATGCCCAAAATCCCGAGGGGAGGATGGAGGAAAGGGATTGCAGTGTGGCCATCCTCCCCGGGAGTGATTTCTCACTTTTCCTCTTGCTCTCTTTTTCTCTCTCTCCCCAGAGAGCCCACAGGTCTGATAGCAAAAAAAAAAAAAAAAAAAAAAAAAAAAGAAAATTAAAATAAAAAAAAAAAAAAAAAAAAAAAAAAAAAAACTACAATCATTGCAGATACATACAAATATTTACTTCTGTGATAATTATAGGAGCATTGTTTCTGGTAGAAAGTAAAATGGAAGTAACTTGTGTTCTGTTCTCCAGAGAAGCAGAACCAACCAAGTTACCCTATTGGCCATACGAGTATGTGTGTGTGTGTGTGTGTGTGTGTGTGTGTGTCTGTGTGTGTGTGTGTCTGTGGGTGCATGTGAAAGAGATTATTTTAAGAAATGGACTCATGCAATTGTGAACTATTGTTCATGGTGACCTGTGATTCTAATTTGATCAAGGGTTCTAACTTTTTGATATTCCTGATGAACTTCCCAAAGTTAAATTCTAAATTCAATCTTTTTATTGACCCAAGTTAATTTTAGCATTTTTCCATGTGGGCCCTTAGAACTTCTCAAAATGATACCTCTTCTTATGAAAAAAGGATATCTTAAACAAACTGGGCAAATTTGCTCAATTATATAAGGAAAGCATGGTTGAACAATAATAAGTGCTAAAACTTCTTTCAGTTATATTTGTATGAATTTTTATTAACATGTTTTAGCAAATGTTTTATGTTTTAGAAATGTATGAAAGTCTTAGAACTCTAGTAGTCCTGATAGAATGGGTCAGTCATAATTCTAGCTAACATCTTAAAACAGTGTATGCATGGGCCAGCAGGTGGGGTAGTGGTTAAGGGGCTGAACTCCCACATGGCCGACCATGGTTTGAGTTCCCAGACCTGGAGGCTTGAAACTCATGCTGGGCGCATGTGCGCATTTGTGCCAAAAAATCCCAAGAGAAGAATGGAGGAGAAGGGATTTGGCGTGGCCATTCCCCCTAGGGGGTGATTTCTCACTTTCTCTTTCTGTCTTTCCAGCAAGTACACATGCTCTAGAGCAAAAATCTCAAAAAAAAGAAAAAAAGAAAGAAAAAAGAAAGAAAGAAAAGAAAATCATGTTGGGCCCATGTGTATACATGCTTAAAATCCCAAGAGGAGAATAGAGGAGAAAGGATTGCAGTGTGGCCATTCGCCCTAGGGGGGGCGAGTTTTCACGTTCCTTCTCTCTGTATTTCTCTCTCTTTGGCAAGTGCACCTGCACAGAGACTTAAAAGAATAAAGAATAAAAAAGAAAAAATCGTTGTATGCAATGAAGCAAACAAATTCCTTGTCGTTTGCTCATTACTGTAAGGAACTCTCGTCGGATTTTTAGCCGTGGCCGCTTTAAGTCTTGTCATTCACAGATGGTTCGTTCTGTGCTCTGGTGCTTTTCTGAAAGCTGTCGCAAGTACAGGCCTAAAGTGTTTCGTCTTTGAGGAGAGGACTTCGTTAAGCACAGGTTTCTTATAATGTAAAGATGATACCATTGGACTAGGTAAGAATGACTAGAATTCGAATAAAGAAAGAGGTTGAGTTTGTAAAACGGCTAACCCAACACCACGCAGAGCAAGAATGAACTGAATACCAAGTAAATGCTTTGGCAGACTTTCATGCTAAGTCGGCCAACACTAATATTCTTAGTGTATGGAATTCCAACTGCGTAAGATTGATCCAAGTCCAACTACACACGATGATATATTGAGTAAACAATGCTTGCAGCTGAATTGGAGAAACAAAATTGGTATTTTAGAAAAGGTATAAATTCAGTGTTAAGTGTAGAGTTGTGGAGAGGTTAGACGGCCACCTGATCCTTCTTCAGTCCTTAAAACTTTAAATATTGTTATTATTTATTTTTAGCTTTTTGCCATAGGGTGAGTGTGATCACCAGAGAGAGACAGAGAAAGGGAAAGTGAGAAATGATCCCCCAGGGGGGATGGCCATGCCACCATCCTTTCTCCTCCATTGTTCTCTCAGGATTTGGGGCAAGTGCGCACATGTGCCCAGCATGAGTTTTAAGTCACTGGGTCTGGGGCTCGAACCATGGTCGATCATGTGAGAGTCTAGTGCCTCAGCTATTATGCCACCTGCTGGCCCCAAAGCTTTAATTCTTTAAAGCCCTGATCTCTATGCATTATAGAGGAAGCTCCTGATCCACTGGCACCAGGCAGGGTCTCACCAATTCTACAGGCTCCTCCAGGCTCTGCAACAACCGCTGCCCAGCCCCAGCACCGCTTCGGCCAGAAGGAGCAGCGTGGCTCTGCGTTTGCTGACAAGGAGTGCGGCCTGTGCCCTGGGTGGGCGGGGCAGCTTCTGCTCATTCCAGAGGTCCCCTCTGCCACCCGAGATACCAGGCTGCAGTGCTAGTCCCCTGAGGGGTCACAGGGCTGTTGGCACCAACCTGGCCTCTGGGTTAATTTTTGTCAGGTTCACGCAGCCCAGCGCAGAAGGACTGATGTTGGACAGCCTTGAAGGATGGGCACACGAGCTTATCAGAATGAGCGATAACAAGATAAAACATAAAAGTGGCTTCGTCTCTGCCTCAGATTCTTCATCTCAGCAGTTTTTACCTTCAGAGTCCAAAGACCTGAGCTAGACAAGGAAAGCACCCTGCTGAAGGGACACTGAAATGACCTTGGTCCCTGGTTTTCTAAGGCTGCCAGGCAGGTATGAGGCCAGCCAAGATTCAAGAGGGCAGGAAAACATGCTCCACCTCTTGATGGGAGAAGCTATAAACTCACACGAAGAGGGGCCTGGGTACAGAGAGTGGAGAATCAGGGCCACTTTTGCAAACAAACTAGCCACAACACATTTTACATAAAATAACTATGCTCCTATGTCAACTAAACCACTAATATGTTTAGTTTTCATTTAATACAGCTGAATGGAATCCCTTCCACAGGTGGAAAAAAGATTGTAAGCAACAGTCCCATGGTTGAAGATGCATAAAGTTTCTTTTCTTTTTTAAGTTTATTTATTTATTTCATGAAAGAGAGAGACAGATGGAGAGAGACATAGAGACCATACCCCCAACAGGATCCTCATGCCACGAGCCACCCCCAGTTCCTGCCAGCTCAGATCTCAGGCATGCAGGTGTATACCCAGTACGCTCAGGGAGGGATCAGTTGTTTTTGCAACAGCTTGGTCTCTGAAATTTGAAACAGCTGAAATAAGTAAGGAAGGAATTTCTGGGTGAGGCGATGACGTCAGGGAGCTGCTGCATAGCAGCACAGGAATTCCCCCTCTTTCAGAGAGGCTCACACATTTGACAATGGTCACACTTTAACCCTGAAGCAGGGTCTGGTGAGGCCTACCCTTATCAAGCACCTGCTGGATGGCGGATCTGATTCTGAAGGAGTTAGGAATGAAGGAGAGTCCCAAGTTTTAGGAATTTCCACCTACCTCTTTGAAAGCCTCCAGAGCTCAGAGTAGAAACTGGGGTCATGGGGAACTCAAGGTCCTAGTGTTTTTTGGCAAGTTTGGATCTCAGGAAAAGTCACAGTTTATTCATACGCTACTGTTTATGGCACACTGTCATCATCTTATTGATTCTAGTTTATCTGGTTTTTTAAATTTTTTTAAAGAATTATTTATTTAATTTTCTTCACTCATTCATTCATTTTAATTTGAGCAGAGAAAGACACACACACACAGAGAGAAAGTGAGAAAGCAAACCACCAGGTTCAGGACTCAAACTGTGGTTGGCCTTCTGGGAGTGTCCAGTGCCTTAACCACCATGCCACTTGCTGGGCCTGTGTACCTGTTTTTTTCTAAATCCATTTCTTGCCACATGCAACCATTCCACTGGGTTTAATGTGTGTATTTTTGTTTGTGTGTGCTCTTACCAAATGAGTATTACAGTCTTTTTTTTTTATGTTTCAATTTATTTATTTGCATTCATTCACTGTACATCATTACAGCATACAAAATGAGATTTTCCATCCAGAGTACACTGTATATTGTCTCAATCAAGCACATCAACAAACATGTTATTGTCAGCAAATAATCTTCCATTTCTTGTTTTCTGTATGTTTTGCTTTTCCCCCCCATCCATCCTTGATTCCCTATCTCTTACCCTCTGCCATCTCCCACTCTCCTCCC